GACTATCACAATTCATCTTAAGCCATCTAAATCAGAACCTACAGAGGGACCAAGGATATCTGTATTTTAAACAATGCACAGCATGAGGAACCAGTCTACTCAGACACTCTTCCTCTGCAAAAAGGTAATGTTTTTCTGGCCATTTATAATATGCCTGACACTTTACTACATCATCTCATTTATTTCCTACCCTGAGCAGTAGACATGAATGGTTCCATTTCTCAAGGCTCAGAAAGGAGGAGTCACTTGCTCAAGAGATGCAGCCTTACTTTGAACGCCAGGCTGCCCACACCCTTCCTTGCCATCCCCTTGAAGCTTCAACTTGAAGTCAAACCAAGTCATTTGTTTACATTTAGACTTCAAGATTTATAGAAAATACAGACACTCTCAATGAGTTAGAAAATATCAGTAATCCATGAAAAACTGAGGAATGATGAGAATGGTGAATTCTTAGAACAGGTGTTCAGAAATCACCAGCCCTCCAGGAAGTCATTTTCTCTCTCAGATTCATTCCTCTTGCTTCTACTGTGAATCTCAGCTTAGCCATCACTTTCTCTAGGAAGCCTCACCCCCCCCCCAAACCAGGGGTAGATGTCCCTGCTCTGTGCTTCCAAGGTCCCCTGTATTTGGGGACTGCCATTACTTCTTTACTGGGTAAGTTCCATGAGATAAGAGCCATATCTATCTTCTCCATAACACAACCCAGCACAGCACCTGCCATCTGTGAATACTCAATCACGACTGAAAGGAGGGGGGAGAGGGGCAGAAGGGAGAGGTGTGTGCTCAATTTCTAAATGGCTTCATGCTAGGATGGGAAAGGCAAAGGACTGGAAGCCTAGGGACCCACATAAGTAGACTGTTTGGCCTTGGGCAAGTTCATTGTTCGGGGGATCCTTGATTTTCTCATCTGAAAATGAAGACAATGGCACCTTCTTCATAAGAGAGCTAGGGGGATAAAACTAAAGAATGATTAGGCTTTGATTTTTCTCCTGTATACACTTTGTCCTTGTTTTATTGACTGACATTTACGTGTTGGCAATTTCCATATTCACATCTCCAGCCCACTCACCTCCACGACCCCATACTCATCCAATGTCTGTCTTTACTTAGGTATCTTATGGGGAGTCTCCAAAAGTACTTGAATTTTATCCATACACACAACTTGCTTCTCACCCAGATTCCTCCATTATGAGACTTCTACTACCATCCATCCAATATTATTTTTAAATTGAGGCAAAATTTACATGACACAGAGTTAACAATTTTAAAATAAACAGTTTGGTTCAGTTTAATGCCTTCATAATGTGTACAACCACCAACCTCTATCTAATTCCAAAAGATTTTCACCAGCCTAAAAGGAAACAACTTAGCCATTAAACAGTCACACTCCATCTCCCTTTTGCCTTCAGCCTGTGACAAATACCCATCTGCTTTCTGTATCTTTGGATTTACATGCTTGGATAGTTTTTGTAAAGGTAATCATGCTATATATGATATACTTCTTTTACTTATAATTTCACTTAATGTTTTCAGTGTTCATTCATATGATAGCATATATAGTACATCATTCCTTTTCGTGGCTGACTGATATTCTACAGTATGTATACAGCACATTTCATCTATCTACTCTCCCTTTGATGGAAACTGGTCATCTACCCAATCTTAAACCATAAGCTTGGCAGTCACCTTCAATCCCTCTCTTTCCTCTATTCCCCCAATCTAGTACATTAGCAACTCCTATCCATTTTGCATCCAACATATAGTTCAAACCCTACTGCTTCCCTCCAACACGATTGCCACCCTCTAGACCACACACCCATATTTCTCCCATCTAACTTCTAGTTGGTGACAAGATCTTATTCTTTCCTTTCTCTAATCCATTTTTCACCTAGTAGCTGGTGGCATCCTTTTAAAACAGGAACTAGATCATCCATTCATTTAAATAGTATTTACTGAGCCCCTTTCTTCACAGAGCCTGCCTCCTAGAGGCAAAACAGAGAACAAAGAAATGTGTACTATTATATCAGGTCATTACTACAGAGAAAGTCCTTCAATGACTTTATTGCACTTTGGATAAATATCCAAGCTCAGCATGTCTCTGAGGCCCATCAACTTCAAATTCATCTCAGCTTCTCTATACAATTTGCCCATTATGCTCCAATCATGATGAGCTCCATACCTCATGGTCCCTCAACTGTTCCTTCTGCCTCTTGATCTTGGCATTGCTGGGTCTTTCTCATCCCTTGTGTCTCAGTGTAAACATCATTGGTCCAATTGACCTTTCCTGACTATCCTGTGAATCAGATCCACCCTTCATTCATTTCACTTATTTAAAATGTGCTGGGCTGGGGGTGTAGGCTGGGCATAGGGCTCTTGCCTAGCGTGCATGAGGCCCTAGATTCCATCCCCAGCACTGCAATTTAAAAAGCAAAATCAATACCACCATCACAACCAAAACAATGAAGAAACATGTGCTAAACATTACTGGGCTCTTGGGATAAAGCAATGCTTGATCCCCTGGAGCCTGCAGTCTACTGGGGAGGGCCAACTACAGGGAGGAGAATAAAATAAACAAGTACAGTGAAGGGAGAATGAAGCCGAGGAGTAAAAGAGGATCTTCTTTACACAGGATGATTCAAATGCTTTTCTAAAGAGGCTACTTTGAAATTGAAGGATATGAAGAATTGCTTGGGTAAAGGGTCTGCTATTCCCTATTCCATCCTGGCTATGTAACACAATATTCCATCCTTCAATGTTTTCTTTTGAAGACTCAAACTATTTAATGTCCATCTTTCTCTACCCTAATAGACTGAGCTGTATCCCCACACTAGGACAGTTGGGGAGCACTGAATACATAAGGACCTAACTCTGTCACCAGACAACTAGGGCAGGATGTATGCACATAACAGGCACTCAGTGGGAGCCCATAGTCATTGGGGCTATTCTATTATTTATTACAAAAGCTGATTTACTTAGACTCCAAAATTCATTTTCAGATGCAGTCAAGAAATGTAAAGGTGAGAGAAACAAACATTTCTGAGTGTCTGTTATTGATGGGGCATAATACAAAGATCTCCTTTGCTTCTTGTGAGGAGGTGGCTTGATGCCGTGGGACTAATCTTTTGGTCTTCCAAGACACTTGTTACCTCCCTATGTGTGCAGCTCACAGGTGAGTCCCTGTTCAGAAACGGACAGCTCAAATTAGCCCCCCTTCCTGGGGGCACCTGCACCTTCTGGTTGGCCAACATGGGCTTCAAAACCCCCTCTTGCACTACATCATGGATCTGCTTCTGCCTGTGCTGATCCTGCTTCCCTCTTTGCTCACCCACTTGAGGAGTCAGACACCTTCTCAAGAATCCTCTGGCACACAAGTCTCAGAATCTTTGATCTTTTTTCCAGTGAACGTCACTTATAACAGGTAGGTATAATGATTTCCTCTTAAATCAGAAAGCATAGGTTCAGAAGGTTGATCATATCTTCAAGGTACACAGCTGAAGAGGCTTTCTGGTCTAACATTGGGTTAGCCCTTGTTCTTTCTACTACATCAATCTACACAGCCTTCCCATCAACAGCAGAAACTGGGCCCTATGAGACAGAAACAGGAGCCAAGAAAAGAGGGGACCACAATGAGGTCCAGAAGATGAGAAAAAGAGCAGAGGTACTCCCTTCATAGTCTTCTAAGGGCTGTCCCTGATAACAAGATCGAGGTTACAGGCTCCGGTAACAATCTACAATGACACACACGTTCAGAAGTGGTATCACATGAGCAACAGCTCTCTGACTGAACTCATGCCCAGAAGCTGGAGACCAGGGCTTTGGCCAGATGGGTACCTTAAGGGATCAGAGTATTTGCAGCCGAGTTCCCCCCAAACCAGGTTTTCCAACTAATCAGCTTGCCAATACCAGACTCCCTCCATTGTCCACAGAGCTGTCACTGGTTGGAATTCTTCCACAGCCCTCCTTCATCCCAGGCAAACTTCTACATACTGGAAGGCTGGATTTTAAGGTCTGTGCGTGTGTTAGCCTCCCCGTCATGGTGCAGCTCATTTCCTTCCTACAAGACCTGGTCCTACTCTATTATCTGATGTCTGATTGATTATCTGATGCTGTAGATCAAGATACTGACCTTTTTTTCAATTTCTTAACCTCACACAAAAATAGTCACCTGGAATTCCTGCTACCTCCCAGCTTTCAGTATGGCAACCTCCACTACTCCTATAAGTCTCCACTCAGTGCTATCACCTCCTCTCTGCAGCCTTCCTGGCTCCTTCACTGTCCTCTCCATAGTGCCCTCTGCATTACACTGCATTGTAACCGTTCCTCCTAGGTCCGTCTTAGTCCCAGGAACTACCCTATCCCCCACCCCCAGGTCTTCCTTTGTGCCCTTAGGGTTTAGCCCTTAGGACTCAGTAGAAGCCGAATAAGTAGTGAATAATACCTGAGGCGCTGCATCCAGTGTTAGTCTCTGCCCCTAGGCTGGCTGGAGAACCACTCTGAGATTTCTCCATGCGTTCCAGGGTAACTGGAAATAGCAAATAGCACGACAAATCTGATCCCTACCCCCAAGGCAACAGGTCATGAGCACTCCGCTGACTGACCCAAGGCAGGTGCTGGAAGCCAGTGCAGAGCGGTGGTCCAGATGCGGCGGTTCCCGGCTTCCCGCAAAGCTCTTTGCCCAGCCCAACACTGGGTGGAGACAGTCTCAGAAGCCACGATCTGGCACGGTCCTGGCTCCGGTGGCCCACCGGCAGTCCCTCACGCCTACCTGTCAGTTGGAGGGTCCGGAGCCTGGCCAGGCATAGCAATCAGAGGAGGACAGTGGCGCGCGGCTCCTCGCCTCACTCCCGGGCCCTCGGCGCGCGCGCATCCCGCAGGCACAAAGCTAGAGCTGCCAGGGACACAGCCCGACGCGAGAGGGCACCTGCAGCTCTGGCTCGGAGTGAGGGTTTCTTACATTCAGAAGCCCCACAAAGTCTACTTTGCTGCGGCGCGAGGCTTACCGTGCGAGCTGCCAGCGTCCAGTGGGTGCCTTGGCCGCCGCGCCTTACTGTGGATCCCAGGAAGCGCTCGGGATGCGCAGCGCTCAGCCTCTGCCAGCACCGCTCACCAGCGCCTCCGCCCGGCCGCCCCGCCTCCCCGCGCTGCGGTGCCCATTGGCTCGGGCCGAGAGGCCCCGCCCCCGAGGCCCCACCCCTCTCACCGCTCCCCAGTGCCCCGCGGCGTTCACCTCTCCTGGCTGGGAAAGTTGTTTCCAGACTCTGAGTGCTCTCGCCCGCCCCAGGCGGCCAAGTGAGGCAATATTTCTCCATCCCAGGAGAGTCTAGATGCCCTTTGGGGAGTGCGAAGAGTGCAAAGTCCTTGGAAGCCAGCTTTGAGAAAGTCAACTGACCTCCCTGGGCATTAGGAAGCCCTTCTGAAAGACCAGGCAGTCACTGATCAGCAAATGTCCCAGGCTATGTGCTTAGTAGCCCAGATGCAACTGGAAAAGAGATGAAATCTGTCTCCCTGGTGGTTTGCATGGGGTGGGGTGGAGGAAGGTTACATACAAGTAAACAAACAAAAGATGTTACATTATAGTAAGCACTGACACTGAGGGAGGGGGTAGCTGAGAATATTAAAGAGGGATATCACTACTATACACAGAATGATCTATTTGTGACATTTGAATTAAGACTAGAACAAAGGGGATTCCAGGGCTGGAGAAAGCATTGCTGATAGAGTGGAAGCAGATGCCCGTGGTTCCGAGGCTGGAAGTGGGTGGCCAGTGGAAAGTGAGTGAGCTCCAGCCAGAAAGAAAGGCAGAGTGAAATGTCCCAAACCTTATAGGCCTAGCGAGGGGGGTAAGGCTTCCATGTAGAATTTGGGAGGGGCAGAGTTCAGCACTGCAGGTCAGGAAAGAGATGATTTATACCAGGTGGAGACAGCAAGGTGGAGAATGGTGGACCAACTGAAATATAATTTGAGAATAGCATGGAAAGTCTACTGGATGGTGGAGTGGATTTAGGGGCTGAGGAAAAGAGAGAATGAAGGATGTCTCCTAGATGTTTAGTGTGAGTCATCCTTGGGGTAATGTGCTATTATGAGAAGGGCAATGCTCTCCCCAGCATCTTCCACTTACTGTAGTTTCTCTGAGTAAGTGATTCTGACCTCACAGACTAAGAGGCGGGAAGACTAGCACAGGAAACATAAGCTCTGATGCTGAACGGCAGGTGGTAGATCTGCCAAGTGAAGCCAGCAGGGTATACTAGAACAGGAGGGGTGGGTTTGTGGCAAACTGAGGAGTGCATTCCTGCCTAAGGGAAAAAGCATTGCTGAGCTCCAACTGATTTTTGCCATATGGGAATATAGATTCAGAGTTGCCTGATGTTCTGATTTTTATTAAATACAGATTATGTTAAATCTGTTTAGTGCTGGCAATTAATTTTTTAAAAAGACTGAGTGGTCCAAGACTATTACACCAAATCAAACACATGTATGGGCTGAGCTTACACCATTTTTTTCATTTTTCTTTTATTATTCATATGTGCATACAAGGCTTGGTTCATTTCTCCCCCCTTCCCCCCCCCCCTCCCTTACCACCCACTCCGCCCCTTCCCTCTCCCTCCCCTTCCCTCTCCCCCCCCCAATACCCAGCAGAAACTATTTTGCCCTTATTTCTAATTTTGTTGTAGAGAGAGTATACTGAGCTTACACCTTTAGTTACTATTTTCTACGAAATTTTCTCCCAGTTTCTATCCAGATTGGATGAGGATGATGGTGAGAAATTTGAGGATCAAGGAAATCTCAACTCAGATACCTAGCAAAATCTTTGGTGGTATTTATGCAGCCCCTACCTTCACATACACAGCTTATCCTTTCCAAGCCTCAGCTTCCCTCAGTAGGTCAGAGCAGAAATCACCCAATACTCCTCCCAACAGTAACATTTGGAGTTATAATAGTTTTCTTTTAAAAACTTCTGGCTCTCAAATATGTACAGGAAAGTTGCTTGGAAAAAAATGGAAATGGTGTTCTTATCTGGGTATCTAAATCTAAAAGGCCTCACTAATGTCAGTTTTGAGGAAAGATGAAAAGAAAAAACAGAACGGGATAGAGGTCTAGATGAGAAACCAGGAAAATTATGGCATGGAAAATTATTTTTATTGCACTATAAATAAGAAAAAATGGTAATTAGATGCAGGAGTGCTTAATGCTTTCTATTGAAAATTCAATGCATTGTAGTCAGTCCTCAGTATATATCACCAGGGGTTTTGCCTTAATGAGATTCTCCCATCATGCATTGGAGGTCAGCTTCATCTAGCACTATTTATTTTTAAGCACTAAGCTCAGGTCATTAGAAAGGGCCTGAAAAGAGATAATCACTCTCCATACAACAGTCCCTCTTACCCTCCTCCTCCACCTGTGATTTTGTTTAAATATGGAAAAACACTTTATGGTTTTATAAATCACTGGGTTTGTAAAGGAGAGTGAACATGGGGATGGAAGCTAGAAGACCCAAGTTACTAAGTCATTAAGTAACTTCTCACAACTTTCTTCATCAGCAAAATGAGAACTGGGCAAAAAGGTAGCTTTCTAGAAAGTGTGTATTTCTATTTGTACCTCATAGCTCCAGGGACAGTTTTTTCATTGTGGCAATTCTCAAGGTGAGATACTTCTTACAGTTTGCCACCCCTATCTTCTAACTCAGTCCTTGAGGCAGGATGTCACCTAAGTTCAGTCTGTTAAATGATTGCTCCTGGAACTTTGCCTCCGAGGAAGTGATAAAATGAGGAAAGAGATTGGACAGGAGACTCCTTACAGTGATGGTGGCTGCAGCAGCATCCTATTGGAGTGGACTGGGTGGTGATGAATCTGTTGGTCAACCTTTAGAACTCTCAATTTCCTCCAGCTTCTCAAGCCTAGTTCTCTCAGTCATCCCCACTCCATTCTTTTTTCTTTATGAATCTCCCATTTCTTCTGAACTCCCTTCTTATGTTAGACATCCAGTTTACTTCTCTTGCTTTTAAACAAAATCCTGATGGATTCAGAAAGAGAAGAAACCTTGTTACCTGTAGGTAGTCTCAGAAGATCTCAGGTCCTTGGTATTCCAAACAAAGAATTGAAATGTTCAGATTGCAAAACAGCAGCAAAGTTTTATAGATGGTGAAAGCAGGAAGAGTACACTCCCCAAGGAAGGGGGAAGTGTACTTTGGTGAGGCAACTTAAGGGCACCACCTATGGCTCAAGAGCAGTGGTGCCTTGGCTTGGGTGGGTATTTATATGGTACAAAGGGTATTTAGGAGTGGCTTTTGGTGATTGAAAGATTAACTGCATGTGTGAATTTCACTGTTATGAGATACAATCCATATTCATTAGGCTGTAATTAGGGGACCTTGTGCACATGTCCCAGTTTGGGTCCAAATGAAAATACTATTTCAAAAGGGGCATTTGGGATAGTTCTGAGTGGAAGCTTGACCACCTGTGTCCCTGGGAAATGATCTGCAAGGAAGTCACTTGTTCCCCAGGACCTGGTTTGGATACTTCCCTCAAATTTCCTGCCTCAAATTCCCCCGGAGACAAAAATCCCCCCCAAAAACCTTTTTTAGGGTTGCCGAGGGATAAGTGGTGATCTTCTGTACCTGCTTCTAAGTTGGCAAGGAGCTGCAAACGCTACCTTTCAGGGAAGTTGTCTCTCCTATTTCTTTCCTTTGGGACTTGCCGTATCACCCAATGGCCCTTGTTGTCTGCATCTTTGTCCAGCACAATCAAGGTCACTCATGAGGAGTTTATCTATTTGCACAGGATTTGTAGCCTTGCTGCATCAGAACTTGGACTTTAATGACCTCAATTCTAGAAAACATGTAGGCAATTCAAGATGCATAGACGTAAGCACGCAGTGAAAAGTCAGATAAAGATGCTATTTCTAAGGAAGACAGGAGGTTGGACAGACCACTTACACCTGCCTCTTTAGTGGTCGGTATGCCCTATGTTTTTCTTGAAGCCAGATGAACCATCTCAAGGGTGCTCCCAGGAGTAGGAGTCCTAAGCCCATTTGTGTTGTGGGAGAGAAGTGAAAATTAGATATGTAAAACTTTTATTTTTCTTTGAAAAATGATTTTTTTATACTTCCAGAAGAGAAGTGTTAGGTCTTCCATCAGCTTGCAGGAGTAAGTGTTGCCAAGCCATACTTGGTTGGAGGAAGGTTTCCCCATCACATGCTTCACCCTGGAAAGATGGATTCAACTATCCAGTCCTTGAACCTTGACAGGATCACTGGGCAGGGACCCTTCCATTTGGGCTGGAGTTAGTCATCTGGGCTTCCTTCCTTCCAAGTCTTGATTAACACCTTTTCTCCCAGTTCAGTTCCAAGTTCTCCTGCTTTTGTTGGGGCTGGTAGAAACTTATTTCCCAACTCCTGGATTGCTTGTTGAAATGTCCCCAGATCTGTTATATGTCTTAATAGACCGTCAGTCTCAGGATCCATCACCAAGTCATTGGAAAGAAATGGCCTCCCACAGAGCCTTACAAAGGGGCTCAGATGGATCTTAGCCCTTAGGGACATTCCTAATTCTTAGTAGAGCAATAGGTAAAAGCTGAATCCATTTTCCAAAGTCTCTTGGCAAAGCTTGGCTAAGAGTTGTTTGATTGGCCCTTTCCACTTTACCAGAGGATTGGGGTCTCCAAGCTGAATGTAAATGATATTTAATTCCCAAGACCTGAGCAACCCCCTGGGTGACCTGTGAAACAAAATCTGGTCCATTACTACTCTGGAGTGTTCATGGCCTACTTTTCCCTGTCAAGAGTATGTTTGGGATCTCAGACTCCTGTAGAGGACTGCTCCCTCTTTGGAGGAGGGGCCAATATTGATATATTTTCTAAAGGCTTCCTCCATCCCGTTATAAAATGACACAGGATTTTCTTTTTCTTCTCAATTCTCTAACCTTACCATAATTAATAGGTTTAGCAATTCCCAATTTCTGGATCTGGAGGATTGCCTCCACCATGTTAGCTCCCCTTCACACTCCCTCCTCCTGGAGTGTTGTAATCTCAATTAGACCCAT